TCAGATAGAGGTGAAGTGTTAGAATTTTTTCTTCTCGAACACTTCACTTCTATCTGAAGTTTGTGCTGATGATGTCGTTCAGAAGAACGATGAATGCTACACTACCAAACCATCCAGCTCAGAGAACAAAACTCCAACAAAATCATCCACCTGAGCTCCAAATCTTCTCCACCATCTCAGAAGTAACCATGAATGCACAGAAATTTTGAATTTCAAAATGTACGTTTCATTAGCTACTCAGGTAGGAAATTGAAATCTAACCGAAGTGCAATTAGAATGTAATTCATTTATTTTAAGACATATTGAGTGTTGTGAAATACCTGAAGATTTAAGACATCTCAGCCTAATCTGTATGAAATCAATATTCTAACATGCTCCTAAAATATTATTTAATATAGTTATCAGATAAACGTAAAATACATACAGAATTATGGCTTAACAGTGAATTAAAGTTATATAGTCGTTCAGATTCTTAAGGTAAACGAGACAAGAATGCCTTACCGATCTATTCAAACAAGAACAGTGAAATACTTTGCATAGTACTTTCAACAGTCAAATGTATCAGCACATTTCATAGCCACATTCATGAAACAAATGTTTCTTCAATGAATTTGTGGCTTTTGACAATCAAGGACCTTCGACTTGTTTTAAATCTCTAGGGGACATTAAAATGAACGCCTCGATTTCAGGGTAATCACGAACCACAAAATCACGCTGTGTCTATCGGAGCTTCTTGATAAGTAAGTTTAAATTTAATTTGTTCCATAATTTTCGGTTTTAGCTTAAAGCGAAAGGTATAGTGTTTGAGTTGTACACTGAACATAAACTCTTGTATAAAGATACATCCAACTGACAAGTCCAAAATAGGACGAAATGCGTGTCCTGGATTCCACCACTAACCATTATCCATCTTTGCATATCATCTATATTTATGTTTCTAATAGTTAAGTATCGTCTAAATTGTAATGTTCTACAATTTTCCTACATATTTTATTACCATAGTATCATTATATCGGAACATGATTGAAGGTAAACCAAAAAAGGACATATGTCAGTAGACACAGTTTAATATATATATATATATATATATATACTCACCATTTGTTTAACCATCTGTCCATGTATTCATGATACATTTCTTTATGTAAGTAAACTAGTTAGTTAATAACTTTTTTAAAACTACATCAGTCATTCTTTTATCTTTACCTCAAGTATATTTCATCTCTTTACACGTTGATAATAGTTTGTTTAAACATGCTGTGTTCTGTCCTTTAGTATTTAATTAGTATTTACATTTTACTTGACAGGAGAAAAGTAAAGAATAAATGATTATCCCAATTCCAATGTTTCATTATAAGTTCAAAGGAATTCAACACATAATGTATTATTTTGGTTAATAAAATACATACTGATATAATTCACTTGGTATTGTTTGTTTGAATCTTCCTATTGATGTTTAGGACTACAATTAATCAGTCTCTCATTGAAGTCCTAAATATCAATGAGAAGATTCAAACAATACCAGGTAAATCTAAACTTCACACAATTGTAGGAGCAAGTGGTTATCATGACTGTGATTAAGTAAATATCGTGATGGCGTTTGAAGCGGACGGTACTAAGTTCGAGTCCCAGAGTGAACATCAGCTGCAGGTACATCCAGCTGGCGAGTTTGGAATAGAACAAAACGCACGTCTTGAGGTTCCACTGCTAGACAATATCCATCTTTGCATATAATACTGATATAATGATATATTTATGATATCAAAATGAGAGGAAGCTATATATCATGAATCCATCATTATTTTTCCATTTACATTCTACTGGATATTCAATCTATTTGAAATTATTAAGTCTTACTACAGTGATGGTATTTGAATGAAATAATAGTCATATATGTGTTATTTACAGTTAGTTCTGCTTACATTGTATTAATTTAAATATTGAGTGACAATATCTATATTTGATTACTAAAATTAGTTTTGTGATCGATATTTATAACAGGAAAGGGATGAAGAATACACAGTGCCGTAAAATGATTGAAATCAAACATGCACACCGTTAAATGTCGATTCAATGAACTATAGGTTTTGCCTTCACGTGCAATACCAAACATTCTGGGTTCGAGTCCTGTACTCAAGGTCAAGGATGTGTAATGTTGAGAAGACCCATATTAAAACGAAACTCCCATCCAGTGTTTACACGAGTTTAGTGGTTTTATAAACAAGATCAGTTTGGGATTTTCACTATGATATTATTGGTTTCAATGTAATTCGATAACTCACAAACGATATACTTCAAAATATGAAATCAGCATATTGTGATGACTAGTATCTTGAATCCTTTTTCAATTGACCACATATTAGCACTTTCTTTAAGTTCAGTATCCCATCTTCGAGAAAGTACTATGATTGACTGTCTTTTTCAAAAACCAATAAGTAATATACTGAGATGGGTTGAATTTTGTTTGATTCAGTACCATGATAATCCCAGTATTAAAGGGTAACTGAATGTCAGCTTGCATTTCACTACTTGATGAATTGTTTTTATTGATCACTTCTTTGTAAACTTACTGCTTATTAAGTTCACGACTAATAAGTAGTGCATTTAACGTTTCGCATACCTTGATTTCACCACTGACCTGTTTCTTTTCAGTTTCATAGAAGATAACAATAGCACCAAGTAATTACACCACATTATACCGTATGTATGGATTGACTCAAACAACTCATTAATGTTACCTGGGAAGATCGTCAACATCATACGGAATTCATACGACTGATTACGGCGCAAAGTGGTGCATGAAGATCGTCTGACAGATACACTCCAAATGAGAACCGGAGTCAGACAATGCTGCCTTTTCTCTCCCTTCCTCATTCTTCTGGTGGTCGACTGGATTATGAAGACCTCAACATCACAGGAGAAACACGGAATACAACCAACTAGAAGATTTGGGCTTCGCAGATGACCTAGCCCTCCTGTCGCATACACACCAACAGATGCAGACGAAGACAACTAGTCTAGCAGCAGCCTCTGCATCAGCAGGCCTCATCATAGACAAAGGAAAAAGCAAGATACTCAAATACAACACGAAGAACATCAACTAAACCAATCACACTTGATGAGCGACTATGGGAGAGGTAGAATGTTTCACATACTTAGGTAGCATCATCGATGAACGTGTACGATCTGATGCAGACGTGAAGGCAAGGCTTATCAAAACAAAGACCTCATTCTCACGGTTGAAGGACATATACAACTCAAAACAACTTTCAACAAATATCAGTCACAATCTTCAATATGAACGTCAAGAGAGTTCTATTGGAGAACCACCACAACCATCATCAAATAGGTAAGAGTATTTACAAACACTTGTTTACACAAGGTACTGAATGTCTGTTGACCGGATACTATTAGCAATATTCTACTAAGGGACTTGAAAAGCGAGGTTCAAGATGAGAAGGAAATTAGGAAAAGACATTGGAAGTGGATATGATATACATTACAGCCAGTTTTTGGCTTTATTGTGTACAAATGTTATTTCCTATTTTATGATGCGTTGCGGTCTGTTTGTTTGCTATATAAACACAGTATGTTATAAATAAATGATTCGATTCGATTCGCATACTGGAAGCTGGTATTGGTGTTCTGGGCTCAAGTGGACGGGCTAGGCGGACATAGGACCAATAAGGAGGCTAGACTGCCCATACCGGTCGAACGTCATTGGTTTGGCAAAGTTCTAAGATTACGTACGTCGTATTTCGATTGGTGGATAAATCACGTGATAACTAGCCGCATATAAAGTCACAACAGTTTGGACCATACTTTACTTAATATTTCCAATGATAAGTATCCAAATATTTCTGTCGGTTTTGTTATTGTAACAAAAAACACAAATCATTTACTGATTTCCTGACAAAACTAAAAGCTTTATCAATCATTTTTCTTAATCTTATTCAAATGAAGGATTACAAAATAACGGTCAAATTCTAAGTGTAATAATAAATTTGGTATTCAAAAAGAAAAAAAAATTTATACTGAACAGCATAGTCAAAAGAAACCATTCTTATCCTGAATACAATAGCTTTTTATTAATACACGGATAAAATGATTCTCAATACAAACAGTATTTACCTTAATTGAAAAAAAAAACGAAAAATATTCTCAGAAGGTTGTTTTGTGGAGATTTTAGTAATTGTATAGTTGAATTCATCAGTTGATTGAAGCTTCAATCTCAACAAAACCCCTTTTGATACTCATCAACATATGCTCACTATGGACTGACTTCAAGAGGTATATCCTGGAGTTCTAGTGAGAAACAGTGATCAGTAGAGTTCAACCAGGTTTGTTGCGAGATAGGAACTCACTTAAAGACATTGGATGCCGGCTCAGTGGTCCAGTTGGTTAAGTGTTCGCGCGCGAGACCGAAGGCCCTGGGTTCGAATCCCGCTCGTGGGATCGTGGATGCGCACTGCTGAGGAGTCCCACAATAGGACGAAATGGCCGTCCAGTGCTTCCAGGCTTTCAATTGTGATGGTCTAACATCAATTGGTTCAAGATCTCAATCAAAAATAGTAGATGTGTCGCTAAATTTCGTGGATTAATCGAACTTAGGCATTAACACCGTTGGATACCAGCCGACTCAGTGGTGTAATAGTTAAGCGTTCGCGTGCAGAACGGATAAGTCCTTGGTTTAAATCTCGCAAAGCGTGATCATGAATGTGTACTACTGAAGAGTCCCATACTACAACAAAACGATCATCCAATGTTTCTGTATTTTCCATGATACTCTAGCTTCAATCGACTCATGAATACAACAATAAAATATTCTAACATTTATTTAAACAACATTATTTAAATATTATTTTTTTTTCGATTTCCTTCAATTTGATTGGATAATTAAATGAAAAATAATTCTAGAGATTTGATTGGTTGAAAATTTTATATTTTAATTCTATACGACAATACCTAAATAATTTAAATGAAGTGTAATATATATATTTTTTGTTTTGGAGGGAGGAGAGTTGATGGGGTGTGGGGGTGTGTGGTGGAATATAATTGCCAATATTATTATTATCATTATTATTAAAGAAAGAATCTCATTGAAATAATTATAAATAATCATTGAATGAGAATATGAATTAAACCTCCAGATGAATGAATGTATTCCATCTTTATTGGAATTTATTAATCATACAAATAAATTAAATTCTTCATTAAATAATAATGATAAAATTACAAATTATAGTCTTATAAAATTTGGTACAGAATTTAGTAAAATTCATGGTCCATTAAGTTTAGCTGTATGTATATTTGGTATACCAGCTAATTTAGTGAATATTATTGTATTAACACGACGTGAATTAGCACAAACTGCTACAAATCATTTATTATTATGGTTAGCTGTTGCTGATTTATTATTAATGATATTATATGCACCATGTTTATATCATTTTTATATTATTCATCCACATCCAATGAAAAATCCAATTTATACACCAAGTAAATTATGGATTATATATCAAGAAATAGTTGTTAGTTGTGCATTAATGTTACATTCATTAGCATTATGGTTAGCTGTATTATTAGCATTATTTCGTTATATCCATGTAGGTTTTCCAATGTCTGGTTCAATATATACAACACGTAAAAGAGCATTTATATCTGCATCATTAACAACATTATTTTGTATTATTGTATCCATACCAAATATATTAGTTAATCATTCAGAATCATGTTTAGGACCAATATTAAATTATAAATCAAATAATGACAAATTATTTAATAAAAATATACAAATTTATTATTATATAACATCGGAACCAGATTTTAATGAAATACATTCATTACAATATATCAATATAACAATTAAACAATTAAATGGTTGGAGAACAAAACAATTACATAATTTCAATGTATGGTTACAAGCTGTTATAACAAAAATTGCACCATCATTTTTATTAACTATATTAACTATTTTATTAATTATTGAATTACAAAAATCAATAAAACGTCGTAAATTATTATTTTTACATCGTGATAAATCATTATCTATTATACAATCTACATCGATACCTCCATTATATAATGATGAAAGTAAAAAATTAAATCGTGAAACACGTACAACAGCATTATTATTAACTATTGTATTATGTTTTCTTGTAATTGAATTACCTCAAGGTATATTAGTAACATGTATACATTTAATTGATAAATTTGAAGAGAATGTTTATCAACATTTAGGTGATTTATTAGATTTTTTAACATTATTAAATGAATCAATTAGTTTTATTATATATACAACTATGTCATATCAATTTCGTCAAACATTTGTAAATATATTTTGTCCATTATTAATTCATAAATCAATTATATATCATGAACAACCAACGAATACAATACAATATCGTCAACAATATCGTATATCACCAATAAAACATTAAATAATCAATGAATTATATAATAAATTCAATGACACTTTTTAATTAACTAATTCACTTGGATACAAATGAATGATGATGATGATGATGATGATGGTGAACTATTAAGAAGAATGAATTATTATTATTGAGAATAGAAGTTTATTATAAACTTCTATACAATTGAATAATAAACTAAGAGAAGAATTAAAATAGAGATATTGTGGTTCATAAGTTTTACACCTAATGAAATCCTTCATAGAAACTAATAAAGTATATGAAATGGTTCAATTTATAATTGTTACTATACAAATAATATTCATTTAAATGTAACACTTATCTATTACAATATTGAATATATATTGTGTATAATTATTTATGCTTTGAAATTAATCAATAAATAGAGATAATTTACTATGTGAAAATGAAAAAAAAACAAAAAACAAAAATAAAAATAAACAAAAACAAAAAAGGAAAAAAAAGGAAAGTAGTTTGAGTTTTTTTTGTGCAACATATACTGTTTATTATTTCATAATATATATTCATTGAAAAAATATTTTGAAAAATCAATCAGAATTTTTTCTCTCCATAGATACACAAAAAGAAACATTATTTAGTTGCTAAGTGAATAGATTTATTTATAGTAATAATAAAATTCTGCTACGAATTCATATAAAATTTGATTTTAGATAATATTTATCAGGGTATTTTTTTTATATATTTTAAGAGATTACTTATTAATAAAGTATATGTGTAGTTCACTTAGTATTGTTTGTTTGAATCTTCCCATTGATGTTCAGCATTACAATTGATCAGATTCTTATTGAGTCCCAGATTGAACATCAAATCTGAGATGCAGGTACATCCAGTTGATTTATCTCAAATAGGACGAAAAGCGAATCCTTGATTCCACTGCCAGCCACTATCCATCTTTGCATATATATTTAGTGCTAATATTATTTATGAAAATTAGTATCTCGTTGAACTATAGAGCAGTTAACATGAATTTACATATATATATATATAATAGTTGGATTCATGTGTCGACTAAAGCTAGATCACCATGGAAAACCTGGAAGCATTAGATGGCCATTTCGTCCTAGTGTGGGATTTTTCAGTAGTGGTCTGGCTTTAGTTGTCTCATGAATTCAACTAATGAAATTAAATACAATTTCCATAAAAACCATCCCAATCTAATTTATAAATATGACAATCTTCAGTCTTTATCAAGTTACGCTTAACACTCATAGATAGTACTTAGTTTTGTGAGACTAAAATTTATGAACGAAACAATCACATATGAGATATTAGGTCTCGGATTTTGTCGCAAAATCCACTCATTCATTTAACTAAATAGATTTTTGACATTATAACTGATATCAATTCGTGATGAAAAACAGTAATCTAATTCCTAACCCTAACCATCAACTGCAATTTACAATCCCAATTCCTTACACTGGTTTATAATCCTCATTTTTTCCTAGTTATTAGGTGGACACTATCAAGATCACTGGATCGTCGCCCAAAGGTTGCCCATATATTACCGTCTCACTGTTGTTTCGTTTATATATGTTTCTTGTAAATATTAAATTCTGAAGATTTAAATATCTCTATCATTTATTTTCCGATTAGAACTACATAATGTTTCTTCATATAATTAACATTTAAACGTGGTTATTCATTTGCCTCATAACTATTCCACTTTCTAAAGTATCACAAATATATAAAATAAGAATGCAAGTAGATTGTTATCTGTTACATTTGTAACATTTTGATTTAGTCATTACCTTTATGCTCTATGTTATTCTTCTTAAATATAAAATAAGCATTATGTATAGTGGAAGATGTGGAGGTGTGGTAACTTGAACCGATGCATATATGTGCCTAGAGATGGTTGAGAAGATTTGTAGCTCAGGTGGATGGTTTTGGTGGAGTTTTGTTTGCTGAGCTGGATGGTTTGGTCGTGGAGCTTTCATCGTTCTTCCGAACGACAGTGACAGCACAAACTTCAGATAGAAGAAAAGTGTTCGAATTTCTCCATATGTGTTTCAGGAAAATCATACACAAATAAAGGAACGAAAATCAAACCAATGAGAGACACAACCAAAACAAAGAAGTAAACAATGATAAATTTAAGGTCAACAAGAACCAATCAACATCGAGGTGCACAGAACAAGCTGTGAAACACATATGGAGAAATTCGAACACTTCACTTCTATCTGAAGTTTGTGCTGATGATGTCGTTCAGAAGGACGATGAAAGCTCCACGACCAAACCATCCAGCTCAGAGAACAAAACCCCACCAAAGTATGTGCCTAGTCCTACGTTGTAGCTGACTGACTAACTGACCATAATGAAAGTACGATCTGATTCAGTTAGAGAAATCGAAGAGATTCACTAATATTATTTTCATTATCTATTAATGTTTCTAATTGTTTTCAATGTTGTCATACAACAATTTTAATCATTTTGAGTTGACAACAATTGTCAACTGAATTTCTGATTAAGAAGACAACTTTGTAAACGTGTGATTTATTAAATATATTGACTGATTGAAGTTATCATCTAATAAGAAAACATTGAGAAGAAAACGTTTACTATACATTGAATTGTTTGTTGATTTATTCTAACTGCTTAATAATAACTTGAATTATTTTTCTGGTTAGCGTTTTTTAGCGAGCTAGTTTCCCACGGCATGGAGTCGCTAAACCCATGCCCAACGCTCCTCCTTCATCTGGGCTTGGTGCCAGAAGTAGCCTCAGAGGGACTTGATCAATCTATATATATTATATTGTACAGAATAAATCTTATGCACATCATCTAATGGTGTAGATTAACTAGAAATGTTCAATGTATCTGATATTTGGATTATAATATCTGTAGAGACAAAAGCTTCAATAAATTAGATACACCAATATTTTCAATCAGCTGTTACTTTTTTGATTTGAGCTACTAAATGTCAAACATAGATTATTCACATAACAGGTTTATTAAAGATTGATTTTAAAATCTTAGTATTCACATATGAAAACATGAGTTTAATTGAATTATTTCATTTTTTTTCTTAGTTTTAAACGTTAACATCATGTATGAAAGGAAATAAACAGGTAATCAACACCATTCTGTACTTCTTGAAACATAAAATTTTGAACTAATTCGTTGATATTTTCAATTAATTGATCACTGACATGTATATCAGGTCCTTCTTAGTAAAGATCAAATCCTATCAACCAAGTTTCAATGTAGTCACTAGTCTAGGTGATTTGACATTGCGTGCACCATGTTGAGATGAGATGGTGGTTGGAAGTAGTCAGCAGGATACCTTGAACCAGGGGTTTGTGCAATATGGCACTCGTCAGCTCGGTGGTAACACCTCTGGCTGTGAATCCCGGTGACACGGAATCGAATTCGTCAAGGAGCGTCAGTTCTTACAAGATAACAAGTACACCTTGCTGACGAGTGCCAAGTAGCACGATACCTAGGTCCAGAAATTCCTGTTGACCACCTCCAACTATCTTGTTTATAATTTTTTAACTCCATTTCTCTATTTAACATTTTCATAATTCTCTAGTTTGTTTCACCTTTTCACATATCTTATAGTGATACTATTTACACCGAGAATTTGTAATGATTTTTATTGTTGATTAAATGAAGTTTTTCATTACCCTTTATCCTTCATTACAATTTGTTAGCATACTGTAACAGGCTTTATTTTGATAGAAAATTTAATCCCTATTGAATAACATACTATAATCATATTATCTAGAAATAACGTTTGAAAGTTTGTACTTATTTTAAACACTATGTTTCATGTCATTTAAGATCTCTAACCATCAGTTGCCATCATCTCGCAGATCCTAAGCAGGTAGTCTACACCTACCAACATGGCTCAGTTCACTTGTCAGTGGCTTCATGGATTTGTGCCACGTTTTGGTCTGGCCGCCCCTAGATTTCTTCCAACCTACTCCTACATCATAAAACATCGCTCGTCGGAGCAGTCGGTGGTTGGGCATATGTAGCACGTGTCCCAGCCATCTCAACTAATGAAGTTTCACTACTTCATCAATTGATTTGCCATCCTTATCTAGTACCCGTTTCCTAACAACTGCATCACTTACTCAATGGTCTCAGGATATATGAGCAATATTTCGAAGACACCTATGATCGAATATTAGCTTATGATATGAAAGCTTATAGTTATTTTTCAGTTGTTACAATTTTAATTTATTACGACTTAATAACTTTGTATCTCTAATAGTAACAGCCTGAATAAACCGGTTCGATATAAAGGTATAATTCTAGGGTGGTGGGGTTATATTCAAAAAAACTCCCTATACGTTAAATAAATCCCAGAACAAACACAGTAGTTCAATTACATTTCATAAAATACAATAGAAACATATCTTTAAACAAAATAGTTTAATCATTCAATGCCATTTTCTTCAAATATTTATATGTGAATACTTTATTAAGCTTTTAATGAACTAATATTAATAGGATTCAAAATAAAAAAGGAGGTATTATATGCTGATTCTTCCGTAATAAATTAAAAGATCTATAATTTTTTACTTATTTATTTATATATTTAAACACATAAACATTAGTATAAGGAAGCACCAAACAGATATGCGCCACATAAATCATTCAATTTATTTGAAGGCTGGGATACTGCCCGGGTGCCTTGAGGGTCCACAACCCGAGCCTTTGACCTAAGGGTTTAATCCATAAGGCAGTCCCATGGTAGCCGGTGACCAATGATTGACTTATACGTCATTTGTTCCTTCGGGATATTGGAGCACACGTGCACCATTCGTTTGGAATCAGGGTTTTCAAACTCACCTAGATGAATCCTTCGTATCCATCATCTCTGTTAAAGCGACGGACATGCGCTTTTCGTCCTCTCACTCTCGTAAACAACGCCCACGCTACGAGGAGGCAGTGAGTAATACTTCCCTGGCAGTGGTTGTATGCACGTGGCCATGTGAGAGCATTTGGAGAGATAGAGCTGACTCTCTTCACTCTTGGCCGTACCAGAGCATTTGTGGGCGATTTATGTTTTAGGATCTTCATAGCTAATCATTCCATTATAAAAAAAATAGTTTCTTGATTGATTTTATTAATTAATCATTATTTAGTAACCATGTTTCCTATTTTATCAAATTCTAAATTTATTGCTTATTGGTATGCATTACTTAATGAGATTTTAATGAAATCGTTATTTTGTTTTATGGTAACTAATGTGGTAACTAAACTTTATATGTAAAAGTACATTTTTACACGTTTCATATTCTCTTCTTTTCCTTTTTTTTCTAGAAACTTTTCACTTATTTTGAATAGTTTTAAAAGAATGAAAAAAGGGATTTTAAAAACAAAATAATTCAGAGTAGTATGTGAAAAACTTCCTGTTTAATGTATCTTTGTTTAAAAGTGGATAATGTTATTTGGGAACTGTTTTTGTTGTAATAGTCAGTCAGTCAACTACAATGTACGGTCAGGCGCATATATGTATCGGTCCAAATCGCCATACCTCATTAGCATAACAAGATGAACACCGGATTCATAGAAGTAGTTAATTAAGTGGTGGTAATATATAAAAGAAAAATTGCATATAAGGACATAGTACAGGAAAAAAGAAAGATATAAAGCAATTTTAATCTCACGGTTTAAGGGAAGACAAAGTTTTTATACGCCTACGCAATAATGATCTATCCTGTCAACCAAAGTATCCAACAATTGGGTACAATAGTCT